CTGTGCATCCAGGACACCCTGCTTGCTCATGGTCAACCTGTCGTCCACCAGGACACCCAGGTCCCTCTCCACAGAGTTGCTCTCCAGCAGGTCTGCCCCAAGCCTGTACTGATGCATGGGGTTGTTCCTCCCCAGGTGCAGGACCCTGCACTTGCCCTTGTTGAACCTCATCAGGTTCCTCATCAGATCACTGCTGCCTTCAGTCAACTGCAGGGAGAGGCACAGGAGCTATCATGGGACTGGTGAATGTTAATACGACCATTATTGCCAACTATTAAGTCAAATAAACAATGGAGGAAACCCCTTCACGATCGATAATGCCAGATAGTGGAAACCTAAGCATTACATTAAAGAAATCAGAATTGCAGATATAAAATAGTTTCTGAAACCTTTAAAAAAGATTGAGACAGAAACACATTTTATCTATCACGATATATCCTGGCCTGTAGAGAATAATTTACCTGAATGTTGGTTAATAGCGTTTCTACTGATGAAAGACCATCAGCAAAAAGAAACGGCGCCGGAAATCCAGGAGGCAAGGCCTGTCCAGCCAGTTGGACTTTATCTAAGGTTGGTTTCATTATTGGAATGGCAATTTGGACCTCTTCTGTAAAGACAGGTTTAAAAGCAACATCAGAAAGCACTGGAAATACAGGTAGATGTAATCTCTAGAAACTAGCATTCTGTTCACCTGGAAGTTAAAACACAAGCGTGTTCATAACACTGCCATCGTTTCAGCCTTTGGGCAGCTGTGATTGTTGCTAGGGTAAGTTTGCAGAACAGTAGAGAACAATAATAAATATATTGAAGACTGTAACATAACTGTAACAGAGTAAAGACTATTACATCCCAAATTCTACAGAATTATAACAGTATTACGCAGTTCATTAAACCTGAATGACCTTTCTTCATTCTACCCTGTTTCGCCACTGAGATGTGCGTTTTTTGTTGCCGTGACCTTGACAAAATTCTAATCAAGAAACGTACCGCATCTCTTTACTCCTTTAACGTTCTCCTCCCCGTACTCAGCAGTAAATAACCTCCACCGAGTCCCCCCCTCCCGCTTCGCTAGCACCAACTCCCCGCTGCCAGCGAAGCGTCGGCGCAGGTCTGCTCAACACGCGCCTTGCTGCTGGCCGCCTTGGCAGCCCCAG